GGGGGGGGACATAAGCGCCTCCATAAGAACTCCCAATAGGAACTGAATGCCATTACAAGCACCATCTGACATGCAGCCCCTTAATATTGGGCAATAACATTTGTTTATAGCCCCTGTATCACAGCCATAGCCCCACGGTTGAGTGTGGATGTGTTTCTGATGCTCCGCAGGGTTGTGATGAAACCTTCTGGAGTCCAGTGCAGAGGGAGGTTTAGTGCGAAGGTAGATCGCTAGGAGCTGAAGTGACCTTGGGACCGCTTGCTGAGGGCAGGACAGAATTCCTGAAGGGACACATGGTCTAGAGTGACAAGACCATCTGCTCCAGCGCCAGCAGCAGCAGCAGGAAGGTGGAGGGGGTCGGACACGGGGGGTGCTGAGAATTCCTTTTGCTGGGGTGTGGAGGGAGCAGATATTCTGGGATATCACTGCTAGCACTCCGCCGGGGAAAAGTGTTTCTTTGGCATTTTTCAAGCGGAAATCTGAGGGAGATTTTTGAACACTTGATGGTGAGAGGGGATCGTTGCAGGGTTAAATGGGGAAGGTATTTCTCTGGTCCTCTTGCTCTCCACGAAGCGACCGGCGATAATGGTCTTGGTGTGTTGCTGTTTTACTTCGGTGGATCCAGTTTCCTCTCCATCTCGGCACAGCCGGAGCTGAGAGAGCGGGATCTAGTAGGCCTGCTGGCAGCGACCTCTCCGAGGATCATCTTCAAGGGATCTTCTTTGGAGTCGTTCTTCGCATGGCAAGGATCTACTTTCTTGCTGCCTCATTGGAATTGCATGGCCTAAACGAATCAATATTTGTATGAGGCGCCTAGACCAGAGATGGGCCAGGACCAAACCAAGCTGCAGATAGAGAAGGGCCTGAGGTTGTATCAGTCCAATCAGACGGACAAAGCCCTGAATGTCTGGACAAACGTGCTGTGGAAGACCTCAGATCCTGGGGGGAAGTTTCGGGTGTTGGGGTGCCTGATCACAGCCCACTCGGAAATGGGAAAATATAAAGATATGCTAAAGGTAAGCCTCCACAAGAACTTTATGCTACAAACAAAAACATTTTAACCAAATCTGTGTCCTGTCGATATTTGTTTAGATAATTCATGTGAAGACATTTCTCACATTTTCACTTCTGTGTGATCATACTGGTGTTATGCAACGAGCAGTGTGTGGGAGTGGAGTGTGAGCCACTGAATAGCCCATTAACTTTATTTGTGATCATGTCCAGTCGGGGTTTAACGGATCGTGCTGTAGTAGCATTTTTACATTTCTACTACGTCCAAGGGACAATTGAAGGAGAAGGGGTCAAAGGTCGGCGCCTTGGTTCCATTTACAGTGATCTTGAGAAGCATGGGTTAATGTGTGGCTTCCACACGGTGCAGAGTAAATAAGTGCCCTGCAACCCGAGTATCAGTGTGGGGTGTCTTGTTGACACAACCATCTATACTCATGCAGCAGTCACTCTTAAATGAAGACTTTACAAAGTAGAGGCCTCATGTCTTTGAAGAAGGATATCATTTCTCTTTTTAGCTAGTATCTTTTTGAATGTAATCACCATGAACCTGCTTGTTCTCCATGGCCTCCCTCTCTCTCCTTGTAGTACGCTCTCACTCAGATCGACACCGCCAGGGAAATGGAGGACCCAGACTACCTGACAGAGGGCTACCTGAACTTGGCGCGCAGCAACGAGAAGCTGTGCGACTTCCAGAAAACGGTGTCCTACTGTAAGACCTGCTTGAACATGCAGGGTACCACCGTCAGCCTGCAGCTCAACGGCCAGGTTTGTCTCAGCATGGGCAACGCCTACCTCGGCCTCAGTGTCTTCCAGAAAGCTCTGGAGAGCTACGAGAAGGCCCTGCGCTACGCTCACAACAACGACGACAAGATGCTGGAGTGCAGAGTCTGCTGCAGTCTGGGAAACATCTATGTCCATTTAAAGGTAACTTTTTTGTAAAATGATTGAGATTTTAGTGTTCTGAACAGTTGTTGACAAAGAACTGAGGTCCTTCGTTTAAGTAAAGTAGAAAAACTATTGTCTAAAAATACTCTTTACAAGTTCAAGTCCTGTATTCAAATATTTACGTGAGTCAAAGTACAGAAGTATCATTATCAAAATGTACTTTAGTATCAAAGTAAAAGGCTCCTTTTAAATTATCATATTATTGTAGAATATTAAAAAGTTCAGTTTTTTAACTAAAGAAAACAAATAAGAGCATTTTAATGTTGTAGGTTTGCAATATAAAGTCAAGTTCGGGTACTTGATTGTATATTACTGCATAACATTATATAAGTAAATGTGTTTTTGTGTTTGTAAAACTAAATGTCTAATACATTCAGTAAATTAAAAAGTACAATGTAGCACCTGAAGCTGTATTTAAGCACTGTACTTCAGTAACTGTAGTAAGTTAAATTACAGCACACTTTATGATGTGCTGCATTAGAAATACTACTTCATCCTATTCTTTGCTTAGTATTTCTCTTTGACTATATGTCTTCAAAAGTGCTTGTATGAAAGACAAGGTGTAATACATTTCTGTAAAATAATATTCTAATCTTTCTGAGGTTTTTTATTTAGGTAAAACATTAATTGGATTGCACGTGTGACTTGATTACGCAACCAATACTGATATTGCCAACGTATTTGTGAAGTATGAAAACACAGCAGAGCATCCAAGCAAACATCATTAATGCTTCGCTCATGTGGTACGAGGCTTTGTGAAACATGGCGGAGTGAGGGGGCTTATGTAGTACCCTTGACGTCAGAGATTTGTAGGAGTAATCCCTCGGCTTCCTAGGGAGGATTGGTTTCAATGGGATTGTTATGAAGAGGCGTTTGAAGAATGCACATATATCTCACGTTATTTCATAATACTGGAGACACAGAAATACTCATTCTCTAAAAGATTATTTTATTTGAATACTGTCAGAGATGGAATTTTCATTAAGCTTTAGAAACCAAACTGTCTTTAGGATCTAAATAAGATGTTTGATGAAGCCGTTTGCAGTGGTGGAAACTAACTAATTTAGTCAAGTACTGGACTTAAAGGTAGGGTAGGTAATTCACTCCAGAAACACTTTTTGTTATATTCCATGGAATGCTCTCAACATCCCGATAGCAATCAATACATTAAATGCTTTGACAATAAACATATACACATATTTCATCTGTGGAAGCCGTGGCAGATAACGGGATGGCCTACCTGCCTGTCAGCCTTCCATCTCGTGCACAAACTTATCTCGTGCCCTCATTGGGTTGGAGGAGGGGCTCTGTAAGGAAGTCTGAAGGAAGGGGCAGATTTTTTTCGGTTGTGTACTTTCAAATTCTAGCTTACTCGAGCTGGTTTCTTCA